GGAAGTGCTCAGAGTCTGGGTAACTTTCAAACATGGAGCCCAAAGAAGTTGCTGATGAGTTAGATGTGGTATAAGAGAGAAAGAGAGGACTCAAGGATGACACCTAGGCTCTTGTCCTGAGCAAAGAAGGACAAAGTTGCTATAACCGAGATGGCAAGAGACGACATTATAGAAGCATCAGAAAAATATATGATGTTATACATTATATAATAATGATATAGAATAATATTTCTGTAGTCTTGGATTGGGGAAGGCTTTCTTAAAGAAGCCATGAAATTCAGCAGCTGCAAAGAAAAAATTGACAGATTATGACAAAATGCAAATTTCTTTATGATAAAAGGCATAATTAAAAGAAAAGTGGTGGACCAGAAGAAAATATTTTAACATGGATACCAAGCCAGAGTAAGATTCATAACATGTAAAGAATACTTCTACAACATTAAAAGACAGGTGACTCCATGGAAAAATGGGCTGAAGCTGTAAACAGGCAATTCGCAGGGAAAGAAATACCAGTTAGGCAAGTAAATCTGTGAAAAGAGGCTCAACCTCATTAGAGAAATACAAATCAAAACAACAAAGCAATGCCAATTTTTACTCACGATACTGGTAAATAAAATAAAATCAAAGACTGATAATTTTTATTGTTGACAAGACTGCACAGAAATAGGCAGTCTCATACACTTTTGTTTGTTTGTTTGAAACAGGGTCTTGCTCTGTTGCCCAGGCTGGAGTGCAGTGGCATCATCATAGCTCACTGCAACCTCAAATTCCTGGGTTCAAGTAATCCTCCTGCCTCAGCCTCCCAAGTAGCTGGGACTACAGGCATCTGCCACCATGCCTGGCTAATTATTCTATTTTTTGGTAGAGATGGGAGTCTCACTATGTTGCTCAGGCTGGTCTCGAACTCCTGGCCTCAAGTGATCCTCCCATCTTGGTCTCCCACAGTGCTAGGATTACAGGCGTGAGCCACCATGCCCAGCCCACTCATACACTCTTAGAGGAGGTATAGATTTGTAAAGAATCTTTGGTGGACAATTTTGCAGTCTACCAAAAATTTAAATGTTCATACCCTTTGATCCAGCAATTCCATTTTTAGGGAACCAATCTACAGAAATAATCACAGAAATGGCAGACATCTAGATAAAAGGATATTCATTGCATCATTGTCTGTAATAGTGAAAAACTGAAATGGTTTAAGAATTCAGCAATAGGAGAATGGTTAAAATAAATTAAGGTACATCCATACTATAAAATACCATGTAGCCTTAAAATGGGTAAGGTAGATCTATAGATGTAGCTGGACATAGTGTCAGAAAGAGACAATAAAAATGTGTTTTTAAAGGAAAAAAAAGCAAATTATAGAATGATGTGTATAGTATGATCATATCATGCTATGATCATTTTTAAAAAAAAAAACCTCATGTATGAGTGTGTGTAAATGCATAGAAAAAGATCTGTAAAAATGCTAAACTCCTGTTGCTTATGAGCCTAGGCATGGGATTACATGTGTGGATGAATGGAGACTTTTTTCCCCCTCTGTATACTTCTTTGTTTTTTGAAATACTTTTACAATCAAAATGAATTACTGTTATAATTTTTAAGTTAAAAAATGAGGGATAAATCAGATACCATGCATTTCTGAAAGTTCCCAAGGAAGAATCCTGGGGGCAGTAGCATATTTGTTACAGTACAATCACAGTGTGCTACTGTGCAGTGCGATGAGAACAGCTTCCAATGCGTGCTATGTGGCCTTGGGAAAGACACATTTTTGAGCCTCAGTTTTCTTGTGTAGAAAATGTAGATAATACCTGCGTCATTTATTTTATTGAACAGTTGCAAAGATGAAATGGAAAAGCATTTTAAAAATTATGAAGCCCTATAAAAATGCAAAGGATGTTTAATATTTCACGTACCAGTCAATTGGGCCACTTTTTTGAACAACAGTTAATAATATCAAAATCGAGTTCCAAGCAGAAATTTAGATGATCTCTTAGCATTTGTTTTAACAGAATTCTTCATTTCCTGGTTAGGTCTTACATGGCAGCAGTGTAGGTATTTTACTTAAATATTGCAGAGTGTTTTGTGTTTGTATGAGAGATTCTGCTGCAGATGGGTTTTAGCAATACCCTTATATCATACCCTCCACCCCACCCATCTTTGTGCCAACCAGCTTGGACATATTTAATTAATTAACAAACTCTTACTTACTTAGCACTTAACTTTGTGCCTGGTATGCCCCTGTGGGTAGATGGCCAGATATTCGGGTTTGTCTGAGACTGTCACAGTTTATGCTTTCTGTCCCATTTAATTGCTAATAGTGTCCTTTTCACTCTCAAAAGTGTCCTAGTTTTAATGATCAAGTATATGGAAACTCTACTATGGTCACCTATGGGGCATGAAAGGAAACATAGGAAGTCCTTGGCCTACAAACACCAGACTAACAAATTTCTTTTCCCATAGCCCCTCCCCACCACTGGAAATGTCCATATTACTTGCAGGGGAGCCATTGCAGAAACTGTGAGTCTTGTGGAGACTTGGTGGACTTAGAGGTCAAGGCAGAATCAAGGCTGAGAAGAGCTGGTATGGATTTCCAGAGGGTCACCTTACAAATTGTCCTCCTCTGCAAAACCTCCTCCCTCAGACCATTTCTCTTTATTGCATTGCCTAGTCCTCCTGGTCAGAGATTTATTTGGGGAAAACCAGCATTCTATTTTCAATAGTGCAAATGGGTTGGACAATGTTTATGAAATTGATTTTTCCCCCCTCCTAAGACGAAGCTGGATATGTGCTTGCACAGAGGAAGGGGAGTGTTTCTGGGAGGAATATGGATGGAAAGGAAAACGTAATTTTGGAGCATGGTACATTCTGGGGAGTGAGACTCTCCCTTAGGTCAAACTAGAGACAAAAGGAGCCGGGGAGCCATGAGAGTTGCGGGCAGAAAGGAAGGTGGGTGTCAAAGATACGCAATAGTTATTGGGGAAAAAATGTTGACTTGTGCACAACCTGTGTCTTGGGGCAAAAAGGAACATTCTTTCTCTGCCACCTGCTACTCCTGCTTCTCCTTCTCTGTCCTACATGGCCCAGAACCCCAGAATTCAAGCCAGTGCTAGACTATGTGCTATATAAGTCTGGGAATGAGACTTCTAGTATAGCATCATTTCTGTAGGAGTGTGTATTCTTGGGTCCAATCAATGAGCTTACCAGTACATTTTGGGACACACCCTTTCATAAGGTGGGAACTGCCTGTATAAGACCTGGTCCCCATGCTGGAGGGGTTCAAAGTCACTAGATTTAAGGGAGACCAGTTAATGAATAGGAAACTACTGGAGAGCAATTAAGTGCCAACTGTAGGGTAGTGGCTCTAAGTATAATACGAATTTATGTTAAGGGGAGCCCAGAAATGGTGGTATGTGGGTTCATCGAAATCTTCTCATAAGATAGCATGACTGATCTGTGCTAAGAATATACCTGGATAGCAAGAGGAGGGAGGAGAAAATTTTAAGTTGTGACAGAAGTCACCTGGAGCTAAGGTTTGGCATCGGACGTGCACATAGACGGGGTAGGCTGTGAAGAGGAATCAAGCCTGATGGAAGCAAAATGACCTTCTGAGAAGCAGTGGGCAACTGGCTCGGCTAAGGTCAGATGGAGTCAAACATTTCCTGCAAATTAAAGTTCACAAAACATATCACTTGAAACTTGTGCACATTTCACGTGACTGAACACTTTGAGGCAATAAATCCTGACAGCATTTTTCAGGTGGATGATTTCATGTGGCTAAAGTTCAGATGAGGTGAGGATCAGATCTTGGAAGTCTGGGAATCCAGATTAAGGACTTTGGACTTGATGAAAGAGTCCATATGTGGTGTTATTGAAAATGCTTGATTAGGGTTGGAACGTTGGCCTTGGGCTGTTACATAGGATGAAGGAGGGAGAAGTCAGGGAGGCCATTTAGGAAGCTGCTGTGATAGGCCAGGAGGGAGGAGTTGAGTACCTGGACCAGAGTGGAAGCAGCAGATTGGAGAAAGAACAAATCTGAGAACTGTTGTAGAAATGGAAGCAACAGGACTTAGAGATGGCACGGGAAGAGCCAGAGCAGGCCCTTGGGTTTCTCAGGGTAACTTAAATACAAGAGGAAGCTTTATTGGAAGTTCATGTTCACGTGAAAGCTTCTTACCTGTGGAGCCTCCCATGCCCTTCTAGTGAACTCCCCTTTCCAAGGAAACCCTATAGCACCTATTCAGTAACTTAATTCTGCAAAAATTCAGACTCCTCCAATGGAAGTTTTAAAGCATTCATTCGCTAACTTGATTTTGCAAAATTAGGTTAGTGAAAAAGTGCTATAAGATTTCTGACCTGGGAGACATAAGCATGTAAGTCATTCTATTGCCAGTTTTGGTGGAGGGTAGTGACAACTACCAGTGCTTCAAAAAAGAGTGACATGTCCAGAGTCTGTTCACATAGAAATGAATGCTTTTACGCTTCATAACCCCTGTGCCCTTCCTGTGAACCCCATCTCCCCAGGAAACCTTAAAGCACCAATTTGCTAACCTAATTTGTAAAAGGAGGTTAGTGAATCAATGCTGTATGACTTTCATGGAAATATTTGAAATTAATTAACCTTGTCAGCTTTTATTTGCATAGGTTCTCTTTCAACTATATCTATCCCCCCCAGTACAACTTTTTAATAAGATTGGTTTTAAACAATGAGACTTAGAGAATCTGTGTACAAAGAGCTTGAAGAATTTAAATACATGGGTTTATTATTAACACAATAGCAAATATATCAAGGAAACACGCCCCATGAAAAGTGTTTCAAAGAAACACAAATCTGCTCTGAGAAAGGTCTGTACCCAATAAGTAAGCCCGAAGAGGCATGTTTGCTTGGTGATGCCCAACAGATAAGCCTGGCAAACCTCGGTGTGATTGAAGAAGCCAGTTTGAGACTCAGCCTAGTCTAGGCAAGCTACTGGCACCTGCTGCTCTCGACGAACCTCGGCACAATGGTGTTCGCATTTTGGAAGGTCTTTCTCATCCTAAACTGCCTTTCAGGTAAGGAAAGGATCTCCAAACCACCACAGATAATTGGAAATGGAGTTTCCTTTTAAACTAAAATTGCACATTTTTACATAGAATTTTTCCCTCCTGTACTTCAAAGGAATTGCTATTAGTATGCTCATTTTCAGAGCTCTTGCTTAGCAAATATGTGTCACGCTGATATTTTAGCGGGGGGAAGCCTATAATATAATTGTTTTATGGAGCTCCTGAATTAAACTTTTTTCAGAAAAAAATGACAGTATCTTTCTTTACTTAGCTTCAAAAGTGAACAAATGAATTTACTCTGAAATCAAAGTTTGTGCTAAGGATGATTTTTTTCTCTGTTTTACCTTAATAAAACAGCAGGCAGAGCCTGGGTTGGAGGACCTGCCGTGGCTTACACATGGGAAGAGTAGAGATTTAATGAATGCTTTACTATCTAATATTTCTTAGGGAGTTGTGGTTTTCTAATCCTAAGACTGTATTTTGAAAAATATGTGAGTGATTTATCGTTGTGCACAATATGGGTGATTTCAGGGATTTGAGCTGAACAAAATCACTTTTAGAGTCAAAATTCTGATGTTGGTTAGACCTAGGAGAGATCACTAATTCAGAAAGCCCCTTGGTTAGTTTTTTTTCAAATACCAAATACATTTTGAATCTGTTCCTATGATAAGTTAGGTCCATAGTAGATACAATAATATCATTTATCAAAAAAAGAGGACTTTTTAAAGCCATCAGTAATATTGGGCAGTCATTAAAATAAGGTTTACTGAGCATATTTAATGACATAAGAAAATGCTCAGGATAAAACATTAAGTGAAAAAGCAGGATACATACACATGCTTAGAATAAATTACTAAACGATTATATATATACTGAAGTGTTCATGGTGATTATCTTTGGGTGATGGGATTATAAATGATTCTGATTTTATTTTCCAACTTTTCCATACTTTCCAGTTTTTTTACAAAGAATATTATACTATTTTATAACTAGAAAAAAATATTACTTTTCAAAACTGTCTGATATTTAGTAATAGTTCTTTAAATATTCATTGTTAAATGTTTAAACATAAATGTTGTATGGAGTCAAATGTCACTAAAAGGCAATACTGCATTATCCAGTGACCTAAACAGGCCTTAGAGCTGGAAACACATGTTACTATTTTCCCTTCCTCCTGGGAATATTCATTTAAATTTAACTTTAAACAGTCAAAGTCTTTGTCCCTTCTTAAAGGGCTTCCAGTCATTAGGCAATTGGGTTGACCCCTGGGCTTTCTGCACCAGCCCTCCAAGATTGCAACAACATCGACTTTCCTATGTGAGGCCTTACACTGGCGTATACTAGACACAGGGTTTGGAACAGTTGCAAGAATGATTTTCACTATAACTAACATATTTATAATTTAAACTGATTATAAATGTAATGTATGGCCATTGTAGAAAGATTGAAAAATATGAAAATGTATAATAAGAAAATAAAAATCACCTGCAGTCTTACCACTCAAATTTGGGTAAATTATATTTTCTTTGAAAGTGTATATATTACATTAAAATTGTGTTTATACCTTGTGTACAATTTTTTTATTGTTTGAAAAAATTATTTGGCATGATATCAGGATCTTATTTAATTGTGACTTTTAGAACAAGGCCCAATCAGAGTGACCGATAAATACTTCTGAGCGTTTTTTTTTCTTAAATTATTATATAGCTGGTTTTGTTGGTGTATAGTGCATATTGTATATCTATACATATGTGATGTAGCTGGCCCAAAGCAAAATATAGTAGCGTCAGTCCAGCAAAAGGAATGGAAATGCGGTATAATATGTTGCTATTTGCTGTGCTTACATGTGTATGGAAGTCAGAGAAAGGAAGATTTCAGTAATCCATACCTGGCATAAGCAGTGTCCCTCAGTTGATCCAGATATGGCTGTGCGACAACTGATAATATTTCCATCAATGTGCAATTTGATGCATTACCTGGACTTGTTTCAGAGAGAATGTCACTTTTTGGTGTTAAGCATGGTGCCTGGCACGTAGTGGGTTCATAGTAAACATTTGTTGAAAGAATGAATCACCTCCCCAAACCTCAAACATGATTTTAGTATACATATTTGAAATTGATTTTCTGTACAACTAAGCAGGACAGATTTTATTTTAATCAAACTATTTTCAATGACTTCTTAAGAAGTCTTAAGTTCAATTTCAATTCAGGAAAATTAATTTTAATCAAACTTTTCTTCTGAAAAATATTCATGTATATCATTTTAGGCACTTGTAATATGTATTACTCATCTCTTGGAAAGATATTTTAATATGGTTTTCATTTTCTGGAGGTATGTGCTATGCATTTTAAAGCAGTAATATATTTGAACTTTGGTTTTGCAGTCAAATCCAAAAAAATTGAGTGATCATTTGGTTATACTTGTTTCCTAATTTAAAAATGAAGTAATTATACATGAAGTTGCTGGAAATTAAATCAGTTCAAATGCATCAGGTTCAAATGCATATGGCTATTTGGGAGACATTTTTGTTGTAGTATATTAGAATAAGAATAATCCTACTGTGAGCAAAGTGCTTGCCACATTGTAAGCATTAAATAAATGAACGAACAATCATTACCAAAACACAAGATATTGAAAAATATTTTTAAAATGTTGATTAATTTAACTGTATATACTTCGGATTATTTTACTTTAATAACAAGCACTGGTTTTTAAAAGAGGTCACACATATTTCAGTCACATGTATCTTTGTCTTGTTTTTAAATTCAGTCAAATCAGTGAGGAAAATTGCAGTCCTGGGTTTTGTTTAAATCAGGTACTAATCTTCACTCTACCATTTATTCACAGTCCTGTTAATAGAGGTTTTTCTGACTTTTTCAATTTTTAAATAACTTCTCAATTTAGAATGAATTAATCCAAAGGAGGGGAACTTTTTTTTCCCCCTGATGATCACAGAATCACTTCCAATTTAAGACTAGATTTGCACTGTTTATTATCCACATGTGACTATGTACATTTAAACTAATTCAAGTTAAGTAAAATTATAAAGTCAGTTCCTTAGTCTCACTAGCCACATTTTGGGTCCTCAATAACTGCATATGGGCTGCTGGATTGGACAGTGTAGAGATAGAACATTTCTGTCATCTCAGACAAGCTCAGAGGTTTAAGTAATGTGCACTAATTGAATGATATAATATTTCTTAAAGGCTCGTCTGGAAATATATAGCTCTTAGCTCTGAGGTGTATTGTCATTGTATCATGGTTGAACAATGTCTGAAAACCATTTTTTCTTCAGAATTTAATTGGTTATGGTGCTGAGTATTGGGAATCTCGGTAACCAAATGGTCTGGAAGTTTTGCCTTGCTAATTGTTACCTATTTATAGGACAATGTGTAGTATTCTTAAAAATATATTGTCTCACTTTAAATTTTGAAATTATCATCCTAATTCTAAGGTGATATTACTAAACTTTTATAGATCTCAAATTAGTTATATGTTTATATGTTTTCTACTTTTTAAAATGTTAGAAATGTTTGATTCAGACTTACAGTTCCCAAATCCTTGATTTTCATTTACCTCCATTCTGGTCTCTGCTACAAATGGCTTTGTGATGTATTGACATAGCAGGTAGAGATTGTGTCTGTCTTGTTCATTATCATTTCCTCAGTGTTTACTACTGTTTATGGCACAAAATAGGTGCTCAACTGATATTTGTTGCTAGGCTCCATGGCCTCTTCTATGGCTTGCCTTGTGGGAATACTATGCTTATTTTGCCCTCAAGTACTTTTGCTGAGAGTGGCTCTCAAAGGGTATTTTTGTGCCTTACCTGGTCATAAGTTCCCATCATTAGCCAATCCCATAACAGACACTGGGACCCAAACTAGAGAACAAAAACAATGGCCAAATAGTGTCTCCAAAATCTGTTTTTAGGGAAAAGGTTCCGGAGACTTTAATGGCCACCAAATCCTCAGTTCTATCCTTTTTATTTTGAGCATTTCAAAGACATTTGGAAGTCATCATTTAAGCACAGCTAGAGATGTGGCTAACTTCCAGGAGAAATGCAATGGGCTCTTTGAGAGCAGGAGAGAACCACTTTTCCCTTCAGTGGAGGAAACCAGCTTTCTCCAGTGAAATTTTTGTTAGAAAGAGTAGCTGCTTTCTGAAGACCAATTTCCTTTCTGGGGTGGCATTATAGGAACCAGGAGAGAATGGGGAGGAGAATATTGGGAAGAGGGAAACTGCATGGAGTTAAAAGGTGCTGCATTCATGTCTACACTCAAGCACTTTTCTCAATTCATCAAGACATTGGTTGCCATGTGAACAGCCAGCTTCTGGCAGGAAAGCAGCTGGACCAGGTGGCCTGGCTGTGACAGAGAACACAGGAAACTAGGGGTAATCAGTACAATGGTTTGCTTTTTCTTTTACTTTTTCAAAATGTTTGTCAATCCCGTAAGTTCCTTTTGTCTAACTGCTGCCATTAAGTAAGAAAAATACGAAGTAAAGAAGTCATTGGGTATGCAAAATTGGGAAGGAGAACAAGAATTTGTCTTTTTATACTATTTCCTCTGAGCCTCCCATGATCTCTGTATCCTCATTCGCCCCCCTCGCCTTCGTCTGTGACCCTGCAGGCAGCTAGGGCTCTCACTCCAGCCTCCCTGCAACACAGACAGCATCTCTTGAACTTGACTTTCTCTTCCAATACTTACCTGCCAGTCCCATGCCCCATCCTGGAGAACTTTCATAGTCTCTTACTTCGCAATGGATAATAACCAGTTAATCAGATGAGCCAGTGCCTGTAGTGTTACCAAACTACAGCCTACTACAGCCCTTTGGAAAATGCTTACATATTACTATTTCAGTATAGTGGCAGGCTGGAGTTTTGGGTACGGGGCTCTTTGGTGTTCCTCTAAATCATATTGGCAGCTAATTATCTCACCCTCTGTAAGGCAAACAGTTCTCAAAATTTGCCATCTCAGGACCATTTTATACTCAAAAATTGAGAGAGATT